CCTTTATGTACTGGATTTGCTATAATTAAATATTTAGCTGTGCTGCAGCTTAAGGGCTCCAGGACATGCAGTTGCTATAGACCAAAGTTTCTTGAATTTAATTAGTATTTTGCATGTCATTTCATACCCTTCTCAGGTAAAAAGTTGAGTCTCTCGTGCAGAAGCATCTGTGTGTCAGATCACCTGTTGTATAAAGGTAGTTTAGTATTGTCATTGTAACAGGACAGCTTGGGGTATGAAGACCTATTAGATTTCAGTCAAGGTCTAAATCCCAGAGATAAATCTTGACTACTGATGAAATGTGGCAGATTTATCATCCTGTGGCTGATCAACATGTGCACATTCATGTACTTTCACACCCCACCGCCTCTTCATTTATCTGTGAATCTCAGGGGTTTTTTTTACCTGTCAGTTTTATGGGATCTTTTAAGCAAGTAGCCCATAGTGTTTTATAAAAAAGCTAATGAATTAATGGTGTGTTATCTACACCATTCAGCTTGATGTCATCTGCAAATTTGCTGAGGGTGCACTCGATCCCACTATGTCATTGATGAAGATATTAAACAGTACTGGACTCAATATGGATGTGCGAGGGACACCACTTGTCACCAGTCATTGACTACTGTCAAGATGTGGCCATCCAGCCAATTCCTCATCCACTGAACAGTCCACCCATCAAGTCTGTATCTCTCCAGTTTAGAGAGAAGGATGTTGTGGTGGACCCTGTCAAAGGCCTTATGGCAGTCCAGATGCATGACATCCGTAGCTCTTCCCTTGTCCACTTATGTACCCGCTCCCTCACAGAAGGCCACTAGGTTGGCCAGGGAGGACTTGCCCTTGGTGAAGCCATGCTGGCTGTCTGGAATCACCTCCCTGTCCTCCATGTGCCTTAGCATAGCTTCTAGGAGGATCTGCTCCATGATCTTCTCAGGCACAGAGGTGAGGCTGACAGGTCGGTAGTTCCCAGGGTCCTCCTTTTCACCCTTTTTAAAAATGGGTGCAATGTTTCCTTTTTTCCAGTCACTGGGGACTTACCAATTCTCAGATGAATGTAAATAAGCATTTTACTCTTCCACCTATCCCTCTCTTTTTTTATCTATCTTCCTTCATCTCCCTTTTCTCATTCCATCCCTGGTGCAAGACAAGTGATCAACTTGCAAGAATTAGTAACTGCTATCCGAGAGCCTGGGCCTGTGTCCACAAGTTGAGGAGAGAGTGTAACGGTAACTGAGTCAGTGTATGGGCCTGTTGCTGATAGCCTGCCAGGTACTGCTTAGCTGGCTAGATAAAGAGTTAGATGGTAGAGGAAAAACCTGTGTTATTGTTGATGTGATGCAGCTGATTGTTTAGTAGTTGTTGAAAACATGCAAATTGTGTTCTGCGTGTTCTATTGGAGTGGTAGTACAGTAAGTACAGAATTACCTCTCCCAGTGGCTCAGATATTGTGGCAGCGTTCCAGAAAGTCTAGCACAGATTTCTGTAAGAGTAGATTGGATCTTAAGTGTTGAATTTGTTCTCATTTGCCTTCATCAGCCACACTACATAAGTCAAAATGCTAAACTGAGAGCTTTACACAGCCAGGTGCACAACCCTGCTTGGGATACATTTAATGAGAGAAGAGAGAAATATACCTTCCGTGAGATTCTGTTGTTTTGTCCAGTTATCAAAATCTTTCAGGGCCTCAGAAAAAGTGCGGCAGTCCAGAACCTGTTTTCAAAAGCAGAAGCTAACATTTTGTTTCAAATCACAGAGACCTGAGAAATGCTGACCAAAGTTTTCAGAGAGGTAGAGTACTTGCAGCTTAAAGTAATTTCTCCCTGTGAGATCAAGTCCAGCTGTTTCAAGTGAGAGAGTCAAGAATCAAAGTTTCCATCATTTATTATGAAAAAATGGTATTTAACCACTGGAGAGCTTTGAAAAAATCCAGCAAGCTTGTTTGCAGATTTAACTGCCTGCCTGTCTTTTTGAGTATTTGAACCTAAGATTTATTTGCATATACATCCCATAGGCACTTTCTTCTTCATGTAATCCATTCTCATGCTGCTTTTTTCAGTCCCTGTTGTTTGTGTAGTTGGTTAAAATGCTTCAATTGAATCCTTTCAGCAGTGGAATTGGTGGAAAGTTGTCTAACCTTTCATCCCTCCCACCCTTCCTCAGTCTCTGCAAGTAGAATTTCTCTTTGTAGTTTGCCCATTAACTGCCCGCTGGTTTTTCTCACCATTTCAGACTTCTGGTGTGAAATAATTGATTTATTCTGAGAGAGTTTGCTTTCCTCCATTTTTTTTTCTATAGTTTTCTGTATTTTTAATTCAGCTTCTGCTCAGCACTATGTGCTTAGACATAGTCTTAGATTCATCTGCACACCCAGCCTGCATGTCAGATCCCTGACCCCTCTTAGCATTGCTGGGCAATTAGTGGGATCCTTTATGCAGCTTTAATGCAGAGTTACAGTCCTGTCCTTAGTTTGCCAGACATGAGCAGGTTAGAAAGAGGTCTGCTTTTTCAGTGAAGGCTTGTTTCCCATATCTAATGCACAGTAGATGACTCATTTGCACAGCAAAACTGCTTTTGGAACCAGAAGCACTCTTTTTGGCCTTACTGTCTTTCTAATATTTTAGACTTCTGCAAGAACAGACCATCTGTATCTCTAATGCTGCTTTTTTGACTTGACTCCTGTGGAAGTCCCCAGAGGTGAATTTGGTCCAGTGAATGAACATATAAACAGAAGCCTGTAGAAACTGCCTTTGCAATTCTGGAGCACATTAAATTTTAGACATAAAAAAAAGACAGCTGGATGTAAACAATGGTAGCTTTACATACAGGAGTTATTGTTTTCAAGTTTGAATTTGATATAGTGGTTAGAACTGAAATGAGTACTAGTGAAGTAAAACAGTGCTGACTACAGCTGTGTTTTGATATGCATGAATGTCCCCTTGAATTATGAAGTGGGGTGTTACTGTGCTATGTAGAGCTACCAATGGCAGACAAAATTGCACAAAGCTGAGTTTTAGCTGACAGACTCAATAATGTGATGGGTCTTTTGAAAACTGGAAAATGTTTCTTTTTCAGATGTTCGCTCCATAAACAGAAGACAGTGTTAAGAGCACAGCTGTATACTAAGGTTATAAAACTCCACTTCTCAAGAAATTATGAAGCAAATGTGCAGCTTAGTGTAAGAAGGCAAAAATAAAAGGGTAGAAAATTTGTTATGAAATGCCCTACAGTATTAAGGCCAGTGTATTAGAAATCACTGATTGATTTTTGACCAATGCTGTTTATACAAATAAATCATTACCACTAAATGTTGTATTCTGGATTTGCTGTCTGTACATACTTATTATTTATACTATTTGAGCTGATTTTTATGTTGTTGGAAAGGATTGTAGCAACTATGATTGCTTATTACAAGCTGAGCCCGGTATCTCTACCTTCTCAAACCAGAGCTGGGCTGTTCTGAAGCCCTGACAGGACCTCAGTTCCATCTCCTGCCTTCAGACAGAGCTGGTGCAGCCCAAGAGCTGTGCAGTCCTTTGCTTGATTAAATGTGCCATCTAGTGGCTAGCAGGGTGATAGTTTAAAAAAAAAAAAAAATCACACAGACACGGACACACACACACACACAGGACACCAAACATAAAGCCAGCAGGGAAAATGGATGGAGGTTGACAAATCCTTATGTTCCCTTCTTTTTCTCCCCCTAATTAACAGTCATTCATAGGTCATTATTTGTTTCAAAAAATGCCATTGTTTCTACTGTATGTTGTCTACTCTCTGCTCTCAGGCTGTTTGCTGAAGTCCGGGTTGAAATCATCTACTGTGGTGAACTACTTGGGCAGAATAGTTACTGCTGTATTCACAAAGCTTCAGAAGTCATATTGTAACATCACCGTTACTGCCTGCATCTGAAATGTTGGTTCTCAAAAACTTGGTTCAAATGCCTAGAACTGCCTGAATTTCTTTAATACCCACACTTGCTGCCCCCAAGTATCCCTGTGGTCCACCTGTCCTTTATGTAACTGCTAAGCCTCTCTCTTGCTTATACATAAGTGGTGTGCAAATTGGATTTTGTGCAAAACAAGGCCACAGAGCTTCCCAGTGCCTTAGTGGGAGGCACCCAGGATGTTCAAGACTCAGGCTAAGCCCCTTGACTGGTTGATTTTGACTTTGGGTTCCTGTTAGTGCTGGTTTCCACTAAATAAGAGTTTATTTTAGGACACTCAGCCAAAGCCTTCTTCCATTCTTAGAAAACTCAGTAAGAGGCTGAATCCTGCCACACATGTGCCATTATTTCATGTGCCGCTGAAGTCTCACTTCACCTGAATGGTCTCAGACTGTTTTCAATGCCATGTAGCACATCATTCACGTGGTTGATACCAAGAGGGCAAAGGTATCCATAGCTGTGTACACAGAAACAGACCCATCGGCTTTGAGATTGGGTTTGGGAGAGAAGGCGTCGCCTGGCTCTTGGTACAGGTTTGTCTGTGTTACATTGGAGAAGTTGCAGCTCACTGTCACAGCCTGGGAACACAGTTTGAAGAACTTGGTACTGCATGTGGGTTGCACTGTAGTGTCACAGTCCTCATACATGCTCTTTACCCTGTGCTAATACGGTGGCACCTAACCCCTACTGGAGGCAGTTGAGATGGAAAAGCTTGGTTTAAAAAAATTGAAAAAAGTAGTCTTTGTTATTAATCAGGGAAGCAGTTATTTGAGACAAGCAACACCTGCCAGCTTTATAAAAAAAGCTAAGAATTTGACACTGAGGTTCTTTGTTTTCTATATGTGATGTTTGCAAAATGAAGTTAAACACTTAAAGCCACATTTTGATGTTTCTCTCTGGAGACACCTGTGTGGTTCAGTCTGTGTCACTATTGCTCTAAGAACCAACTATCTGTGTCTATCCCATCTATTCAAGTGCTTGTTATCTTGATTTAAAAAGGGCTTCTTTTAGGTTGTTGGCTTAAGGAAACTAATTATTTTTCTGTCCCTTTCTCTTCTAGGGTATTAAACACAACGTTGTTTGAACTGTATGAAGCTCTGGGCAATTTTCCTGCCTTATGGGTCTTCAATGTGCTGCTTGTGATTCTTCAAATTCTGCACTGCTTTTGGTCTTACCTAATCGTAAAGGCAGCCTACAAAGCTATTTCAAAGGGCAAGGTAGGTAACACATCACAATTCTGTTTCATGTTTAGTATTTTAGCCTTTTCAGTGTCAATACAGGGTCACTGACTTTTTGGTTACTTTTTCTTTCTGATTCATAAGGTATTACTGAAGACACATATTGTTTTATGTAAACTCTTCTTTCCTTTCATGGAAACTTTCTTCTACTCCTCCTAACAAATGTCAGATAAGTTACTATGTTCTTCATAATGATTTTATTTATATGTGCTTCCATACTACTTTTTTATAATCTGGTGCACTGACCCAAACTACATTAGTGAAATAGGATTAAAAAAAAAAAAAAAAAGAAGCAAACTGCTTTCTTGGGACTGCCGGTTCTGTTTTTCTTCTTTATAGTAGTTATTAGCAAAGTGTTCATTTCCCAGCTGGTAGTGGTAGTAATAATAATACAAATTGTAATTCTGATGCCTTTGCTAGTGGCAAAGTTACAAATCACAGCCTCTTTTGGGTTATGTACTTTCTTTCTAGGATTCCTACAGCAGGACCATTTGGGATAAAATTTAGTGTCCTGCTGCCATTGTTATATTTGACAGGGAGATATAATTCACAGAAATACTAGCCTGCTTGTTGTGCAGACACGGCACTCACATTTAGGTGATAGAAGTAACATTTACAGATCATGTAAAGTACAGGACATTTTGTCCTTAAAGAGTAGAGCACATGAATAGGTGTTTCAGACATGCCACGACCCCCAAAGTGAGTAGGATTGTTCTGTAGAAAACTGCTTTCTATGAATGTACTGGAGAGCTCAGCCTTGTGCTGGACAGAGCCCAGAATCTGCCACTTGCTCTGTATGAAAGACAGTGCATTCGTGAACTGTATTTTGCCTGGAAGCCACACGTCAGTCTCCTCTGCTTTTGGTGATTGTTAGCCTCAGCTGTCCTGTCTGAATTACACCAGTGACTTCAAAGAGTGCTTCATACTCTCTCTTACTCTGCTTGTTTATCCTTTCCCTTGTGCTGTGCTGGAAGGCTGGGAAGTGGAACCCCTTGCATGTAAGTTTCTTTAAATCTACTGTGCAAAATATTTAACCTGTGCAATACTGGTGTTTGTGGTTTTAATTTGTCATTTCTGCTTGGTATTTTTGTCCATTGGTTGTTTTTATGTATTTAAGTGAAAGCTATCTTTAAAGGCCATTTTTACTTCTTGCCTATGCATTGCCTAATACCGTTCAAACCCACTTATCTGTAGTATCTGGATGCTATTATGTTACAACCTTTTTTACACATATATATCTGCAGGATAAGCAGCTGCTCTGTCATCATCCAGGGAGCAGACTCAAGAGCTTAAGTCCTCTGCCTTGTAGTTCAAACAATTGCACAGGAGAAAATTTAGATTATACAAGAGCAGAGTTAAACCCTTTGTCCAGGTTAAAAATGCGTGTGTACGACGTACACACAGATGATCCTTCTTCCTTCAGATCTTAAATTACTTCCTCACTTGCAACCCTGTTCTTTCCATTTCTGCAATAAAATAAGCAGTGTTTTCACAACACATTACAGATGACTTACAGTAGATCTTCATCCTTAATTATTGTTTTGGTTTTGTATTACTAGTATCCCCCTTTGGAACAGCTCAGCTGATTTATTATTATTAAATTTGTAACTAATCCTGATCGTCTGTTTCTTACTCACTGTTATGCTTAGGAGTTTTACAAACCTAGATATATATTTTCTAGACTCCTTCTGTAGAAATGACTCCAGTGGGTTCTTTTGGGGATAAATAAAGAGAGCTAAGTACTGCAAGATGTGTTGCATTCATATCAGGTTTTAAGTGCAAAGACCCTGTTACGTTGCTGCATTTTAAAAATAAAGAGTGGATTGCATGTTTAACAGAAGTGGCTGCAGCAGAGAATCTTCTGATTGTTTGGCTTCGGGGCAGGATCCTTGTAGAAAAATTGACAGTGAAGCTGATATATTAAGAGAATTTAAGATGAAGCAGAATTTTTCTATCATCTGGTCTGCCTTCACATTGATCACAGACACTCAGTATGGGTGCTGGGCCCATTCTATTCTGTCTGATAAAGGTATAATCCTAAGTGTATTTCTGTATCCCCAACAGCTTTAATATAAAAGTTCCTTTATATTAAAGAGACTGAAGTAATCTGTTAATTGCAGCTGTGTAAGTATGAAATCAAATTTCTGACCTCAGTTGAGGTTCAGATTCATGGGTGTCAGAATTACAGGCTTGTTAGACATTGACATTAAAAACTTTACTTTTTAGGAGGTATATGGGAACTGTGTGTTTCTTTTTTGTCTGTTCCCTAGTGGAATAGTGTCACTCAGCTGTTACGATATTGCAAAGATGGTGTTAACATTGGGAGCCCCTAAGGCAAATGGCTGTTTCTGAGGCAAGAGCTGGAGAGCAGAATTGTCATGAGGGCTTTCGGGAGCAGAGGAGGATTACTATAAGCAAAACATTACATGCAGTAGACCAGTTCTTTAATTATTTTGATTTCTTCAGGAAAAATAACATGTTTTTTGCCCCCTGTATGTCCATTTGCTATAGTACAATCAATTGTAACTCCCGATGTGTCAGTCTGCACAGCATGGATAGATTCTGAATGAATTAGGAAGCTCAGCTATACAAACAGGGTAGAAACAGGCACGGAAGCTGTGTCTTTAAAGCTGCATGCAGCTTAGACTTCAAACCTTTTTCCATTGATGCTTTTTTTTTACATAATTTGATGCATTTTTTACCAGTTTTGGAGATTTTCAAGATCAGATTGGGTAGAGCTCTGTGTGACCTTACCCGACTCCATAGCTGTCCCTACTTTGAGCAGGAGGTTGGGCATAGACTGCTGAGGTCTCTTCTGACTTGAGTTATCCTATGATCTTACACATTGGCGGTGCCATTATTACCTCCCTGGGAAAAACATCCCATTAAAAACAGGGCAGGCAGGGCCTTTTCTTTGCGGGTTTTTCTTTTGTTGCCCTTGTTTGCTCTCCTTGTTAACCTGCCTTTTGTTGGCTTTCTCATGTTCCTACTTGTTTTGGGTGCACCTGACTGAATGGGGTGGAGCAAAGTCATCTCAGGGATTCTGAGGGGATTCAGCTCTCAAACTTAGCGATCTTCCTCTGTGACCTTCAAAGAACTCTACAAAGGAGGAGAGCAGGCTCCTTAACCTAAGAAACAGTATCCACCCAGCAAATGGGTACAAACTGGCAGGGAGGAAGTCAGCTAGAAATTATCAGGAATTAGCAATTACCGTCAGTCTGTTTCTCAAACAGCTTTCCAGGGACGTGATGGGGCAGACAGGTGAACTGCTCAGCTACATTTGTGGTTCATGTGATAGGGACTGGAGTTACCTGGTGCGGTGAGTTATGTTTCGGCCAGTACTCCTGTCTCCTTCTGCCAACCCATATTCCTGCTCCCTGGAGCTGTGTGGCAACAAGAGAATAAATTGGGAGATGACGGGGAGGATGTTGCATTGGATATTTTGTGTTATCAAGTCAAAGAGAAGCAGCCCAAAGGAAGGACAGGAAATAAAGTTGTAGTAGGTAGGAGGGCAGAGGGATGGAGGCTAGGTTGAATTTGGGAGCGTGGATTGTTGGTTCCTTCAGTGGGTACAAAACCCTATGCTTTGAGCTCTGTGTCCTCACTTTGGCATGCCATTCAGTGCACCAGTGCAAAGTTCTCACTCTGCCTTTGCACATGGCATGTGTGTGTACAGGCATCTGTGTGTGAAGTGAGGCCACACAGTCAAAGGCAGAGAAGTGTGCCAGAACTGAGATATCCTTCAAAGCTCAAACTGAAAAATGTTTGAATTCTCTGATTCTGGCTTGAACCAAAAAGGTCAGTTGTTTCCTTACAATCACCTACTGCTTGCTTCTTTTTCAAATTCTACAGGTAGCAAAGGATGACCGCAGTGACATTGAGTCAAGCTCAGATGAGGAAGAAACAGTACCTCGTTCAAAGACCCTGCACAGCACTATCACCGCTAATGGGACTGGCGGTGCCAATGGGACAAACGGGTATCTTACTGGTGGCACTTGCTCAGAGGAGCACTAATCCTCGAGTTCAATCACAAGACACTAACAGAATGAACTGTTTGCTACTGGAAGTAAATTATAAGTTGTGAATGCGGTTTCTTCATATATCTCAGCATCAGAAGCAATTAGGAGTATCAAAGCATTCTGATAGTGCACTGCCGTATTTCCTGTTTGTGAATGAAGACAACACACCATTCTGTATACGTAGGCATGCTGTATGTGTATGTAACTGACACAATGGGAGCAGTATTTTCACTTGTACTGTCTTTGAAATATTATTTATTTTTTATTCTTTTGGGAACTTCCGGAAAAAAGGGAATATCCATTCTCAAACTTTATCTCTTGGGATTCTCAGTGGTGGAGAGCATCACACTCAGATCTCTTCTGCACCTCCCTGTTGCTTTTGCTGAGTCTGCTATAAGTAATAGTTGCTTGATTTGTTACTTACAGTAAGATAGAACATAGCTTTATAGATTCTAGATCAGCTTCAGATATTTTTGCTATCTTTGTGTTTTAAAGTGCTGGTTTTGAAATTGCCTATCAAATCACAGTTGCCGTTCCTCCAGCATAAAGTTTTAAAACACTGGATTGATATTTTAAATAGTAGTTAATGTGGTCAATTAGCAATTCAGGGAAAAAAAACTGTGGTAATTGTGGGATATTGTTTTATCATAATTTAAAATTCAATTTGATGGTTAATTGCATTAGGATTAGACTTGATTTGTTGTGCAAATACTCAAAAGCATTGATGTCAGCAGTTAGGACAAACTCATTCTCACTTTTTTTTTTTTTTTTTGCCTTGTAAGTTTTGACCTCTACAGATATTAGGGTTTTGCAGAGATTCCATGTTGAAAGGTGTTTGTTCAAGTGCACCATTGTGAATCCAGATCTCACTCCTGAAACTGTTCTTGCAAGTTCAGGTAAGAGCAGGGGTGTAATGGAAAAAACAGCAGATGAAAAGTTCATTGCTTCCTTGGACACAGTTCTGTCTAGGTATCGTTCTTGTAACTATTGCCACTTTCTTGGTAGGATGAAGAGGGAGAAGGCAGAATGTCGTACATTACTAGAAATAGTTTATTTAAATGCATGAAAACTTGAGCAAAATTCACTTAATGTAGTTCACAGCAAACTTTGAATGCTCAGCAGTATTTCATCACCTCTACAAATAAAATTAAGGGTATCTGTAAAATAATTTTGCTCTCCTTTTTCATCCGAGATTTGCAAACTGTGTCCTAAAGAAGACAAAGTAACACCCTAAGTAAACATCTTTTTTTAAACATTATATACACACTTCCAGTCCCTAGATCGAAGTTTGATGTAGGATGCTAAGGATCATACAGCTCTTGCAGGACACTTTTCTGTGATTTGTGACAGCAGTGCCAAAAGTAGGCGAGGTTCTTGGGTAACAGACTCTATGCAACCTACTGTTCAACAGTATTGTGTATGTGCACACAGAACCAATGTGCTTATAGACCAAAGACTTATATATATATTTTAAAAAATGAAAAAAAAAAAAAAAAGGAAGGAACAAACCAGGAAAAAAATGTAACAGTGTGACTTATATATACAGAGGGATTGGAGTGCTGTGTTCAGCTGGAACTCTAAACCAGGAAACCTTTCTGATTCCTTCCACCTATGCAAATAGCAAAATCTAGATGGTTCCAATGCCATAAAATATGTTTAAAGACTAATTTATACAGACTCCATTGAAGAAAGTTGTGTTGCCACTTCTTTCTTTTGAAACTGAGATTTGTCCTATTCTACTGGTCACTCTTGAAAGCTTCTGAAACCTTTATTGTCCGTAGGGATCCTCGTGTGTTAGTAAAAAATATGCTAAAAGTAAGGGCAGAATGGCATGAATGAAAATAGTACTTCCACTTAGTAGACAATAAAGGTAAGAAAACTGAAAAATAATGGAAGAGCTGTCAGTTTTACTGTCCACAGAACATCTTTTGAAAAAGCCAGGTAACCTTGTAATTCAGCAGCTGCATAGCTTACATGTCCATGAATATATCAGAGGGAGCAAGGGAGTCTTATTTAAATCTCCTTCTCCCCCAAAAGTTTCTCTGCCTCTAGTTTTTCTCATCTGTCTCCTGTGCCTCTGATTTCATACAATTATCTGCAGGGCAGGTTATGCTTTTTTATTACAATCAGTGTATTTTCACATGTATCCCATCCACAGTATTTGAAGTGGCAGTTGTTTAATAACTGTCAAGATAATACCAAGATTTTAAAACAAAACCATTCTGGGATATATTGAATGAACACTGTAATTTCTGAAATCTGACCTGCTAAGATGGTAATTGAGAGTAGTATTTTAAACACACCTCTTTCATGGTGTTGATTACTACCTCCACTGGACCATTTACCTTCTGCAAAGATGGTTACAAAAATGGCATTCTGGCAAGATATTTTGTCTCACATGGGAACAGAATGTGGTTCTGAGCTATCAACGTACACAACTTACACAACATACAGTAGTACTGTAACGTTGCTGATATCAGGACAGAGAGCAATTCCCAGAAACGATCCCTGTGCAAGAGGCAGGAGACCTTTGGTCCCTGTTGGTCCTCCCCAGCTGTGATTCAGATGTCAAGGCTACAACCCTTGAGATGATTCACCATCACTGGCTACATATGCTCTTAGTGTACCCCCCGCTGTTAAATAATGCAACTTGGATTGAAACTCTTCCTTTGAGATTTAAATTCAGTTGTGTCTGTGATGCACTAAAGCATGTACACAGTTACTATGGTTCAGCTGACTCCCAGGGACTCACATATCATTTATCTCTTATAAACCTGGCTTTTTGTAGGCCGTTCTCAGCAGCCTAGAATGAATTTAATACAGATATGTCTGGAAAATAGGTGAGATGAGAGATTCAGATGACACATTTGTGGAAATGGGATAAAAGTAAGGAAGCATTGAGAACTTCACTAAACTTTGCTGAACAATCACTAAACTTTCAAGCTACAATTTTTAAATGGCAAATAAAAATTCACACAAATTTTTTTGTGTTTATTGGGAAGGACCAAGTGTTTTAGAGTTCATACTTGGCGGTCTGTTTTGATTCATTGCTTTAACCAATGGATGTCAAAACTTTGGCTTCATCTACCACTCTGCAGAGAGAATGACGTGCAACTATATTTTTTCATTTGAATTTGTTTGCTTCTCTGCTGAAGAGCTTTGCAAGGTGCTTTTGGAGGCCATCAAATATTCAGAAGATAATCACACGTATTCCAGAAAATGGATTGAAATTATTCTCATGGCTCATGGTAAATGCGAGATCTTAAAAGGTTCTGTATATCTGTACCTTTTGTAGAATTGTCATTTTAGTAATTTTAGAAATGAGAATTTGTACTCTGTAGCCTATTTGTCTTCAACTTATATGCTCCCTTTTTATAGTACAGTACATGACACAGTGGTTGAGATGTTGAAGTAGAAAAATGAGGAAATGATATGTAGAGTTTATTAGTAAAGAGTAAGAATTAGTCTTCTCTCCCTAGCCAGCCCAGAATATAGTAAAATAAGATTCAGATCTCCTTTTGTTTACTGTTTTCCATATTGGTATATTTTGTACCAGAAGAAAAATATAGGGTGGGGTTCTTTTCATGAAAACCTAAAAACAAACATTGCAGAAAATGGCAGAAATATCGGATCAAACAACAAAGATGGATGTTGGAATCTTTTGGATCTTGATCAAAGTTAAATAGCTCTAGTTCTGAAATACCAAAGTCTCCCATGCTGTTTCCTTGTTGCCATTTTGTAGGTTTTTCTGTGTTATTTATTTAATGATGCCAGCAGAATTGGAACAGGTGTCGCAGCTTCAGATGCTCCTGTTTCAGCCTGTGCCCATTCTGTATGATTGCTAATGCCAAATCCTTTTTTTTTCTGAAACCCAAGTATATGCACTAAAGCTTTGCTTACAGTGAAGTGATTCTTGTCTTAAATCTGTATCTGTTTTGAGTGAAAATCACCTTCTGGTTCTGAATGGGACATAGCAGCAAAAGCCGGTACCCTGCAGCAAATGTCAATGATGATCAACACGGGTTGATTTAGACACCGCGTGTGTTTTACAGAGGGTATTCTAGTAGGAAGCCTAATGCCTGTTTCATTCATCTTCTCATTACTGCAGCCTTCTGTATTCTCAGAGAAATATGGGCTACCGTTCGTTTCTACAGTTGATGGTTTGGTATTTTTTTAATCTCTTTGCTACAACTCATTTTTTATGTCTCCTATTGTGACATTTGTGCAAGAGGAACTATCAGATACTTTTTACCCTTCCTGTAATGTAAACCATATTAGGCCTAACTCCAGTGTTCTGCAAACTACAGTTGCCTTTAAACCAGTTTGTATTACTTGTTTTGACAGGTTTTGATTTGGAACAGGAACCTAATGGGAACTTCAATAAGACAATCTTATTCTTTTTTATTTTCATTTTAAAAAGCACTAGTGGAAGTTTGGAAAAGTGGCATACATGTATAGCCTTTAAATTGTGAAGATTTCTGATTGTAGTTGCAATGAAAACACAGTGTTTGAGTGTGTCTGTACGGAATTCTCAGTCTTTGAAATTGTTTTCAATTAAAAAACAGGAGGAAATACTATGAAATTATGGTTTGGAGCCATGTCAATGATCACACGTGTCAGACAAAAGACCAAAATTATTTACATGATCTAAAGTGATCTGTGCAACAAAATACCTTTTCTGGCTTCTGCTGAGCTTCAGCTTCTTGCAGTCCCAGGGTTTAACTTTCCTACATGAGTTCTCATACTGTACCGTGTGTGTTGACTACGTGTTGCGAGTCAGGGTGAGGCAGATGACACTATTTCACCTGTGTTTTCATGACAATCCTGTGCTTGAGCAACTCTTTCAGAAATGCAGTGGTGTGTAGGAACTCCACTATCCCAGACACAGTGATGTGCTAGCTAGAAGTCCTTTCATGTATAGTTGTTGTGTAGAAGTTGGGGAATTATTTTGTGTTTAACTCATTTGGTTTTGGGTTTTTTTAATATGGAAAATAA